CGGCCGCAGACGTTTTTAGCATTAGCTGATCAAATTTCATATAAATTTCGCAATTGTAATTTTTGTGACGTCATAACTTTAGTACTCTATTGAAAACCGCTCTAATCATTTCCCAGACATTCGTAGTAAAATGGCGACGGCTACCACGTTTTCCCCGTCAAAATGGTACTGGTTAACTCGCGGACTCTTACTTTTGGTAAAAATCGTACTAGAATCTGAAGGTCTCTAATAATCTGGCTTGCGAGCAAGCTCTCTTGTTTGGGTTTCGCGTGAGCGGCGAAAGCACGAGCCGGCGAAACGAAAAGAGAATGCATTGAACAACCACGCCCAATCTAATCTTAGCTCTGTTATTCCGGTTAGCTTTTTCATAGTTTTTGCCTCGTGTGAAAGACAGTTAACCCTACAAAGCTAACCACTTAACAAAGTTTCGCAAAATTTTCAACAAACAAAATTCGGGCGCCAAACTCACAGACTGAGGCGTAATGTTGCACTTTGCATGTGTTTTGATAATTTGAGCTTTCTAAATGCGTTGGAACTATACATTTTACTTGATCATTTATTTCAATCTACAAATCTATTTCCCAACCCCCAAGAAAAGAAACGTTGACATGATACTTTCAGCTGCTTTTTATTTTCATTGTTTTTCATTGCAGAACATTCCCTGAATTTCGTTCACTATATTGATATTTTCGCTGCGTTTACAGCCATTTTTATTGCTCACTCAGTTTGAAATGACCACACGTCTCCCTTGTAAGTAGTTGTGTCGTCTATTTCAGCATCCACTCGCCAGTGGTAAGTAGAACCTGGGTTGAGACTCTCCGTAAGATAATGCACATTGCCTTCGCTGGTGATCTTCGCCTGGTACTCGGGTGACGTCGGTGTTGCGTCGGCAACTGTCGTCTTGTTCCTGCCAAGGTACACGTGATGAGTCGAGGCGCCGAAGGCATTTAACCACATGACCGCGTCTCTGTCAGACTTGAGAGAAAATAGTTACGTAATTAAGTTTTCTGTCAGTTGCCGGGGTTATGTTTGCTGAGGAAACATTTCTCATATAGGATGACCTTGGAAGGGAATGCTGTGATTTGTACACGTTTGAGCAGCATATAATTTCAACTTAAAAATACCGTCATATGTTTATAGAGTTTTATAGTGTAAAGTCGCTTAACATTTTCAGAATAGGTAGAATTTTCGAGTTTACCATGGCAAACGATGTTTTTCCCCCATTTTTTTTTTTTCTGTTTTAAATTTGTTTTTAACTTTTTTGCGGTAAATTTTAAATTTTAACACCATTTTAGCATACCGTGTTGGTTTTGATTACTTTTGAGTCAGTTTGGATGTTTTTATTTTGACGTTATGGAAAAATCAATAAACACAAGATGGCGGATCAAAGATGAGACAGATGGCCGCTATTCGGAAATCATGGCACAATTCCCATGTAATATGATGCCATCTCATCATGTTGCGGAACTCAAAGGAAACATTTAGATGGGGACGTACTTTAAGTACCCCATGTTTCCTGGTGGAAGTTTAAAACTCTTGAGTTAAGGGGTCGTTATTTATTTGATCTCTAGCCAAGCCCCACCTTATTGGAAACAAGTCACTTTTAATCAATTTACCTTCACGGTGGCACTGCCATTAGGAGGGACTGGAGTGCTGGCCTTGTAGAGTTGTCGTCCAGGAATCCAATAATATATTGCTGGCAGGATTGTAAAGGTACGGTCCAACGTTATTCTTGTTGTATCTGGAATCTTTACGTGGCCGGAAGTCCAAATTGTCCGCATCCACCACTTCCTTCCGCACATCACCTACCATATTAAACTTCACGAGTCGTCCCGGCAGTGGATGTGTACGCCCTCTAATCCTGCCACCGTTCGCAACGTCAGCCTGCATTTCTCACAACCACCGACTGCTTGTTCATCTCAACGGGTTTTGTACGAAAGAACTTCAGAACACATATGTTGCAGCCGACAGTCTTTTTATCTCCACTATTATCATCTCTTCTGTCGAAGGCGAGATTGTTGAGCACTGTGTGGTACTCGCCTTTGACCATTATCCCGCTAGTTTTCCAAACCACGTTCTCCTTCACAGTACCATTGTGTCCTACCAGTGGGGGCATTCCTGCGTCAAAACGGAGGGCATACTTAGGGCTCGAGTGAACCCAGTTGTTTTGCAACATAGCGTTGGTCTGTGCGCCTCTCTGGAACTGAACGCCTGCTCCATCGTGCTGCAAAACTCCCCAGCATTGATGAGTGAATGTGGTTTAACTTGACAAGAGGATTGCGTCTATTGGGGCGATATCCATTGCTGGCCCCGTTATAGCGCAAAGTGTTTCGAATGAAACGATCGTTTTCGCCGTTCGATATCACAGTTCCTAATCCACCGTTCTTGGTTTGCATATTGGCCACGGACCAATCATTATACTCAAACAGATTGTTCTGTAGTAGCACTCCGTCACCCATGTACTCAAGGGCAAGGCCATCCGATCCATAAAACGTGCTGTTTATTAACTGGAAGCTGTTTCCGCGGCTTGGTTGGATTACTGTCCAGCGTGGAGGAGTGGTATCACCGAGCATGCGCTTGGAGTAAGAAGGAAAGTTAAAATTGATCGAATGAAAAGAGAGACCATTTATAACATCTCGTCTGTGTGTTGGCCGCGCTTTAATGGTGGTGGCAAAGAACGTCAACTGCTTGAAATGTAGATGCTGACAGTTGGAAATGGTGAAAGCGTACGTCTGTACCTGCAACGAAGAAAATAACATAATTTATGAATAATCATAAAATTAAACGCTAATGATTAATTCCGTCTTTGTTAGATTTGGAGTTCATTGAAAGGTAAACCCTTATTGATTACCATGGAAACTGCAAAAAGAAACCCAATTCTCCACTATAAAAGACGGACAATGATGATGATGATGATGATGATGACGATGATAGGTTTTGATTGCGATCATGAGATCTCCTTTCCTTGCCTTATCGTCGTTTAGCAACAACACTCTTCAGATAATAAAAAAATAGACGGCAAGACTGATCCTTACAGCAGTAAAAGTAAGACGCAGAAGATCAAAACAAAAAAGGTTGGATATACAAAGTAAAAGACATGTAGCAAAAAATTGCCCTTAAAAAAATGTTTGCCCGATATTTCGGTTTGGAAAACTAACCTTCTTCGGGGGCTATAAGAACAAAATGAGGTTTTTTGTTTTATGCTGAAAAAAAAAAAAAAAATGGGGCAGAACACCCTATCAAACCATGGTTGCTATGGAAACGTCAAGTCACGCAAACCAACAATTGACACACCAAAATGTTTCCCAATAATGCTTTTAAACATTTTAAACACTATGACAGTGCCTATGTGAAAAAAATATCATCTAACCCAAGAAATCAATGCATTCTTAAAATCTACCTTTCCTCGTAACCTTCCTTCCGGACTTTTTCCATCCATCGTCTTCACATAAACCGTTTTTGTGCTCTTGTCGTAGAACCATTCACCAGCATTATCAAGAAACTCCAGCTTGTCTTCAAGGAAGTACTGATTGTGGCTAGGCTTGAATTTGATAGCGCCAAATGTGTCATCATAAGTGAAGAAGTTCTGCCCCGGTGTGTGGCTTTTGACGATGGCGGTAAAAGTATTGAAGCTACCGATGTTTAGAATAGCCATCGCCCCTGCTACGTTTAAACCGCTTCCAGCCAAGTTCTTTGCGCCATTATCGACCATTTTCCCACGCTTGGAGCTTTTGGCAGACTTTGCCCAGTACTTGTTCAAGAAGGCGGTTTTGTCCGACCACAGAGCATCTGGCCAGCGAGCATTGGTCATCATTTCACCGTCGACAAAAAGCTGCCAAATATCCTGCTCTATTTGAGCGCTGTAAATCCCCTTATTGTCACATTTCCAGCCAGCTTTCGCTGGCAACGGAATTGTTCCATCGATAACAGGAATCTCGTTCTGATAGCCGCGTATGATGATGGGTTGGGAAGGGCTGCCTCGTTTACCAGAAATCTGGAATTCCGATTCATGATAGCGTCCTCTGCGAATGTGGCACTCGTCGCCAGGGTTCTTTAATGCATTGATGCAAGTCTTGATGGTTACGAATGCAGTGGCAATGCTTTTTCCATTATTTGAGTCTTCTCCATTTTTGCCATCGACATAGTAGGTGGTCCCACTCACACACAGCGGTAGTACAACAAGGAATGCAGCAGCGATCAAACTCAGCCCTTTCATGGCAAGGAAAGGGTTTTGATTCTTCTTGATTCTGACAAAAAGCAGTGAAAGTTAAATGGCTATCTAAGCTGAGAATAGCAAGATTATTTAAGTCAACAAGAATAGAGTTATCGTACAAACCCCTTTCTTGGATGGGAGCAGATGGCGAAATATTTGCTAAGTTTGCTACATACAGAGTCTACAATTCGTCGCTTCCTTTCATTGGACCATATTTCGTTGGCAGTTAAACGCTTTTGTTATCGGAAAATCACACTACTTAATTTCGTTCTTTGTTATATCATGTTTACTGACTTTAACTTGCAACTGTTTGTAGTTCTCAACCTATTGTGTTTAAACAACTGACATAGAGAAGAAATAAACTAATGTCGCGATGTGTACTTCATTGAAACCTGAACAAGCAAAAAATATCTTCTATTCTGATACTATAGACTTCACTGAAAACCCGAACAAACAAAATTATATTTATTAATAAAAGGCCAGGAACATCGCTGATGCTATCGGCTCAAAATGAAACTTAACTGAAACTACCTCAAAATAAAACGATATTGTATTTCTCTTCTTCGACAAAGCAAATGGTCCCATATGAAAACAGAAATTGCTTCGTCTCCCTTAATTATCAAACATCAACTTGCACAGTATTATGGCAGGAAACTAGTCGTTTATTCAGCTTTAACCTTTTGTAAAAATCTACTAGTATACTAATGCAAATGCGGCAATCTAATTGGCTGATCAAATAAATGAATAATTGCTAGACTGTAAATCCTGACCACTGAAAAAAATAGAGTGGCTCAGGTGGGTTTGGAACCCACGACCTTCGGGTTACATGTCCATTGTTCTGCCATCTGAGCTACAGAGCCACGAAAATTTAGAGATGTTTGTATGACTGGGAGTATGGCTTATACCCCCAGTCATACAAACGTCTCTAAATTTTCCAGTTGTCAACTTCCGTTTTCTCGACTCAGGTAGAACCCAACCTAACCAAACTTTGAACGATTACTAAACAAGAGGGGGTTTCTCCGCTCAGCTTAATATGAATTTGCGGCGGCCATTTTGGAGAAAGGTCAATTTTGGCTTATTCAATTTGATGCCTACTGAAAACTCGCGCTGTGATTGGTTTAGGGGAAGTTCGTTATTAGAGTACACACGGACGAATGACGTCACGTATGGCGGGAAAACATGGGCGCCTTGCTCCAAAAACTTTGCCAATTCGTCATGTCTCAAAACATAGAAATATTTTCATCAAACTGGGAATAATCCGTAGGAAAATCGATGTACTAGTAGATCAATTACTATGAATTTTAAATCGGCTGTTCAAGCTGCTAAAACTTTGAAGCAAAAGTGATAGTATTTTCAGCTCATTTTGTAGAGAAATGCGAGAAATTAGAGCAGCAATGTATTCAAGATTATATTCGTTCGCCGTGAAGCGACTTGCAGCAGGAATAATTCCGATTGAATTTCCTCGATATCAGCAGAAAGGCATACAGGATAGTTTCTAAATGTGTGTGTTTCGCTTGAACATTCGCTGAGTTGAGCTGTAGTTTATTTTGAGCCGTTTAGTTTTCACAAAGTTTTATTTGGGTGCATGCAAACACTGTGGTCTAAACTGTTGTCAGAATGTTTATCGGCTTATTTAGCGACGTCTTTAGCGTACGTTCAAGTGAAAATCCAGAAGCGAATATCTCTGTAATATTGCAATTGTATAAAACATATATAATTCATTTTGCCTGGGTCTGTACTGTAATAGCCTGCGTCGCAGACGGCGGTCAAGTCCGTCTGCGACGCAGGCTAGTACTGTAATAATGCACATGCAAAAGACGTCAAAACGTGACAAGAGCAATAGTCACGCCATTCGACTATGTCTCGTTGCGTCTTTGTTCTTGTCACGTTTTTGATGGCTAAATGGAACTATTTGTTATTAAATTTTGGGTCTAAGCTTTTATCGATAGTTGTATTTTCAAGAGATTTACATATCTTTGGACAGTTTAAAATATATTTTTGACTGACAAACAGGTATCTGTCACTTGCCTCACGTACAGTACAAAACTTTTTAGATTTTGTTGCTATGACGACCAATTAGAATACCTATTTGATTAAGGTTTAAGAATGATCGTCAAACATACACCAACAGAAAGTAATGTTATGAATATATTGACATTAACTACATTACGTTCTGCCTGGGTCCCTAGTCGAAACTTATACGCGTCATCTCCCGCGAGAAGACTGGGAACGAGTCAGAGAGTGTAAAATGTTAAACTTGTTTTTCAATAGCGACGCAAGCAGCAAGTGCAAGCAACATACGCAGACGCAGTGACGTGTTGATTTGTCGTAAACAACAGTTATCCCTGCACTAAAACCTCCCATGGAACAAAAAGCACACCTGTACATATTAGTTGATGATGATTTTTAATCTTCAAATCCCCTTCCCCTCGTCATCCCCTAACTGAAAAGTTTAACGAATCTGACAATTTTATAATTTCTTGCTAAAAACAGTTCCATGCTATCAAAACAGTTAATCATCAATTGCAATTAAGTGTCGAAGACATTTATTCCACCATCGATCTTTTCCACCACCTTCATTTCTCACTCAGTTTGAAATGACCACACGTCTCCCTTGTAAGTAGTTGTGTCGTCTATTTCAGCATCCACTCGCCAGTAGTAAGTAGAACCTGGGTTGAGACTCTCCGTAAGATAATGCACATTGCCTTCGCTGGTGATCTTCGCCTGGTGCTCGGGTGCCGTCGGTGTTGCGTCGGCAACTGTCGCCTTGTTCGTGCCAAAGTACACGTGATGAATAGAGGCGCCGAAGGCGTTTAACCACATAACAGCGTCTCTGTCAGACTTTGAGAAAAAAAAAATGAATGAGTGATTTGGGGAGATATATGTTTTCCTTGTGTGGGGACGTTTATAATGTACGCCTATCAGGAGCCCATCACCGGACTCCTTAATAAAACATATCATAATAAATTATTTATTGATACTGCAGTTTAGATCAGCTGAGAAAAATGAATCACAACCACCATACCTCGAAATAAATATTATTTAATCAAATTTTACCTTCACGGTGGTACTATGATGAGGAGGGACAGGCGTGCTGGCCTTGTAGAGTTGTCGTCCAGGAATCCAATAATATTTGCTGCTAGGATTGTAGCGGTACGGTCCAACTTTATCCTTGTTGTAGCTGGAATCTTTACGGGGCCGGAAGTCCAAATTATTCGCGTCCACGACCTCCTGCTGCACATTACCCGCGATGTTAAACTGCACGAGTTTTCCCGCCAGAGGGTGTGTACCACGTGGTCTTTTACGCTTGCCACCGTTCGCTACGTCGGCCGCGTTGCGCAGTACCACCGACTGTTTGTTGATCTCAACAGGGTTTGAACGTACGAACTTCAGAACACACAAAGAGCAGCCGCTACCCTGTTGGTCTCCACTTTTGTCATTCCGTTTGTCGAAGGCGAGATTGTTGAGAACTGAGTGGAATTCGCCTTTGACCATGATCCCGCCACATTTCCATACCACGTTCTCTTTCATGGTGCCGTTGCGTCCTACTCGTGGGGGCTGTCCGTCAAAACGAAGGCCGTACTTGGGACTCGAGTGAACCCAGTTGTTTTGCGAAAGAGCGTTGGTCTGCGCTCCGATTTGGAATTGGACGCCTGCTCCATCGTGCTGTAAAACTCCCCAGCATTGATGGTGAATGTGGTTTAGCTTGACAACGGGATTGCGCCCTGATGGGCGAAAGCCAGCACTGGCACCGTTAAAGCGCAAAGTGTTCCGAATGAACTGGTCATTTATTCCGTTAGATATTACAGTTCCAAATCCTCCACTCTTGCTTCGCATGATGGCCACGGACCAGTCATTGTACTCAAAGAGGTTGTTCTGCAGTAGCGCTCCATCGCCGCTGTATTGGAGTGCAAGGCCATCGGTTCCATAGAACGTGCTGTTTATTAACTGAAAGCTGTGTCCGCGGCTTGGATCAATGATTGTCCAGCGTGGAGGAGCAGTATCACCGAGCATGCGCTTGGAATAAGAGGGAAAGTTAAAATTGATCGAGTGAAAAGAGAGACCATTTATAACATCTCGTCTGTGTGCTGGCCGCGCTTTAATGGTGGTACCAAAGAACGTCAACTGCTTGAAATGTAGATGCTGACAGTTGGAAATGGTGAAAGCGTACGTCTGTACCTGCAATGATGAAGTAAACATAATGTTATAGTTTAAAACAATTGAAACTCGTTTTGTTTTCTAAATTACATGGTGTACGTTCCATGGTAAATTTGACTTCTTGAGCGTTAGCATTTCGTCCTTTGTAATGAAGGTACTTTACTCCAAACGAAGAGCTATTCGCAAGATTGTCTTTCTAGCCTCAGATTTGACATTTTCGTTACCTACACGTTTAAAATAAATTATATGAAAAATAACTATATTTGTAACAGTAGCAAGAAGAAGACTTAGTCCCTGAATTTGCCAAAAAAGACTAATCAATCATGTTAAATTGAAGAATAGCAAGTCTTTAAGTGGTCACACAGTCAGTCACACAACTGAGTGTCTAACTTGGCATCTTTAGCTGAAGAATAACGTTTCTAAATTAGTGAACAACTTCTCTAATTTAACAACATTTTAGTTAGGGATGAAAATTAAAAACAAACAAGCCAGTACCTTCTAACGTTTGATACGTCAGTGATTATTTTACCTTTCCTCGTATTCTTCCTTCAGGACTTTTTCCATCCATCGTCTTCACATAAACCGTTTTTGTGCTCTTGTCATAGAACCATTCACCAGCATTATCAAGAAACTCCAGCTTGTCTTCAAGGAAGTATTGATTAAAGCTAGGTTTGAATTTGATAGCACCAAATGTGTCGTCATAAGTGAATAAGTTCTGCCCCGGTGTGTGGCTTTTGACGATGGCAGTAAAAGTATTGAAGCTACCGATATTTAGAATAGCCATCGCCCCTGCTACGTCTAAACCGCTTCCAGCCAAGTTCTTTGCGCCACTGTCGACCATTTTTCCACGCGTGGAGCTTGCGGCAGACTTTGCCCAGTACTTGTTAGAGAACACAGTTTTATCCGACCAGAGAGCGTTTGGCCAACGGGCATTGGTCATCATTTCACCGTCTACAAAAAGCTGCCAAATATCCTGCTCTATTTTAGTCCTTGTAGATCCCATTCTTTTGTCGTTTCCATTTTGATTTTCCTGTCAGTTTCAGCGGAATTGTTCCATCGATAATGGGAATCTCGTTCTGATAGCCGCGTATGATGATGGGTTGGGAAGGGCTGCCTCGTTTACCAGAAATCTGGAATTCCGATTCATGATAGCGTCCTCTGCGAATGTGGCCACTCGTCACCAGGGCTCTTCAGTGCATTGATGCAAGTCGCGATGGTTGCGAATGCAGTGGCAATGCTTTCTCCATTATTGGAGTCATTGCCTTTTTCGCCATCGACATAGTAGATGGTGCCACTCACGCACAGGGGTAATACAAAGAGGAATGCTGTTAGTAAAATCATTTCCTTCAAACGCATAGCAAGGGATAGTCTGTAAATTTAAAGACATGCACAGCCTTTAGGAATTTTATTCACATGATTATGTTTTAAAACTGAACTACAGGCATAAGTTGTTTAGTTGTTTTAATTTGCTTAATGAGACTTGAATCTCAGTTTACTATGTGAATCAAGAAAGCGTGAACACTTTTTTTAACTTTGACATGATCAAACCAAGAATAATAATCAGGAAACCCAAATTTACACTTTGTTTTTGCAGAAAAGCTTTGCGAAAAAAGCAATGAAATAAACACAGGAAAAAATATAGACCGATTTTTTGGCCAAGGAAAATCTCAGCCTTAAAGTGCATATTCACGCTTTTATGATT